GATGGAGTTGGATATGATATAATATCCAAAGGAAAGATCTGTATTCTAACATTTGCTTCAATTCACATGACAATAAAGGACTTCCATTTGACAGTGTCTAACTCTCAATGTTTCATACACCTATTATTTTCAGTTTCTTGCCTTTTCCTGTCTTTTTTTTCTATATGTTCATATGTAATTTTAATTTTTTTGTCCCATTTTCCACTTCAAAAAATAATTAATTACTATAGCCAACATTAGAAATAACAACCATCCTTATCAAAGTATGCATTTGAAGGTATGAAAAGAAACATGGTGTCTAAAAATATATTCTTGTTTTCATAAATATAAAGATATTTACAACACTGCTATATACACAACTACAAGCATTGAAAGACAAAATATATGCCACTACTGAATTCACAACAAGGGCATTATGATGCTTTAGTTCTAAATTAAAATTGAAAGAATATTAAAAATTATTTAAGTTCACTTGATTAAAATACAGTTACAAAATAGGCATTACAGAGTAATCAAAATTTTATACAGTCCAAGAATGTTTTTAAGAATATAACGATATGCATTAAAAGTTGCTCTTCATTAATGAAATATGAATTAATTTATTTCTCTGATTGTGATTTCAAATAAAATAAACTTACTAATATAAGGACCATTTTACATGAAGTTGAAAACTACAATAAGGGGATTTACATAAAAAACTTTTCTTTGATTTCCCAACTGACAAATACACTGAATTGTCACTTAAACTGAGTTTTGATATCTTCCATTATATAATCATATAAAAGCCACTGGAATCAACAGCCCTTTCATAAGAAGGACCTCATATCATTGAATGAATTTTCTTAATGGTATCAACATTTCTGAAGTCTGACTATTCAAAGAACCAATTTACCAACACCAACCTTGTTTACCTAACTGAAAGAAATATACAAACTCAGTATCCAGTTTAAAATTGTAGTATTAAAAAAAAAATAAATAAATAAAAAAATAAAAAAATAAAAATAAAAATAAAAATTACTGTTGGAACAAAAGGTCCGAGGTGCTACTTTCACAGGAGGTAGTATAATTTTATTTAAAGTAATATTTTTTGCATGGTACCCTATTATTCTATATCTTTATTTATTCAAAGGGGTAGAAATACATTACCACCATACCAGCCTTTTCTTCTTTACTACTGAATATTCACATAAATAAAAACAATCCCATGCATTTAAACATTGATAAATATGGGAACTTCATTTGCTTTGCTTATCTGCAAAATACCAATATTAGCCTAACAAGTATTACAACAAAGCAACACCTGTTGGTTGGAAATTAGAACTGCCTAAGTTCCCAAAAGGCCATGGCACTTTTTCAAAACATTGGAAGGCATAAACACACTCATCCACAAATAAAAAATCACTGTGTTGTTTTAGCTGCTCCAAATTAACAAGCGAATTTCTCAATTCATAGCATAAATATAAAAATAACATACACCAAGTAGATTATAAGTTAATTCACACAAAGGTTACCTGATTATAATGGTCTAAAATATCATACACCAAGTTCACATTATTACCCATACTCAATTTTATGTGTACGTCATTCTACTCATCACCACTACTAACACTCCAATATTATTTATAAGCTTACACTCACTACCTAATACACAACCTTATCACAAAAATACGTGTAATTGTACAGTAATGGTTCATATAAGAAAAAAATTATAAATCTTCTTATAAACCTCCCTCTGTTGAGCTGAAAACCGATGAAACTACTAACGGATTGTATTAAACTTGAAATTTATTGACAATGGAAATCTACGTAGAGATGGCACCATTACGAGATCAATAACAAATTATATAGAAAATACAGATGAGCCACAACTTTGTAATTCCATACTCCTGGTATTAGAGATTTGCACTTTAATCTGAAAGAACTTTCCGGGCAATGAGGAGTCTCATAACCTCATTGGTTCCCTCAAGGATCATGTGGACTCTGGTATCACGCAGGTACTGCTGAACGCTGTAATCCTTTAGGTATCCATAGCCACCATGTAACTGCAAGGCTTCGTTAATAATCTGTCAAAGGAAAAGTTTAGTTACTTCTTTTTTCTCTTTTTCTTTGCGCAAATTTAAATCAATAGACAATTATGATTATATTTTACATTTTAACAGTATGTATGATTATTTTTATCACATTTATCCCCCCCCCCCTGTACTTCCTACTATCCCATTGGGCCTTGTGTATGTATGGGGAGCTTCTTTTACCTAATTCTACCTCCATACCCATTCCAAGCTGTTAAAGATTGCACCCTGCAATCCCCGATCCACTTCTCCATATCTCATTTCATACAATAGTTTGGCACAATGAACAATGAAGCAGCTCACAAGATTATTTTTTCTCTTTTTTACTTCTTTACATATATCATTAGACTTTTTACTGCCTTTTTAATCATCATGAATATGTTTCATTGCTTTGTGTTTTATAAAATGTGTTGAAATTTTCCCCCATTTTC